TGCAACCTTCCCTGCAAAAGTCAAAGAGGAAGCCAACTCCCTCTCGTCTCTAGGGGCTGGCTGAAAGCGCCCCATGCCGAAATCCAAGCAGGATTTTCAGCCACAGAGTAGAGAGACTTCAGAAGGGTGGGGGAGTGGGGGGTGGGAGAGTTGAAGCGCCCCTGCAGTCTTAAGTGCAGGTGGGCTGCTAAGTGCTCAAATTTTGATCATGTACCACAAGGGCGCTGCAATGGTTATAATTTCGGGCACAGGTCATTAAGTCCCTTCATTCGGCGCCGTAATTTCGAACAGTTGCTGAACAAATGGTCGTTAAGCAAGGACTACCTACCTAAAGTTTGCACATTTCGCCAGCAAAGCTGCTCGGATTTGCCAGAGCTTTGACTGTGTGGGTGGGGTTCAATGGGTTGACCAGGGCAATGTCTTGCCATGTTAGTGGTGACTCCTTTTGGTCTGCTGACTGAGAAAGTGGACAAGATGTTTTTGAGCATGACCTCTACAACTTGCTGGCTGGACCCATGTCCCTCCTGGCTTCAAAATGGGGCTGACAGGGAGTGGGGGAAGGCATGATAGACTGGATCCAGGAGGTTGTCCACCCCTTCCTTCAGGAGGGGGTGATGCCTGAAAGAGGTGGTAGTACATCCCCTCCTTGGATCAATCTGTATTGGATAACTTTAGTTGTCTCCAGCCCTCCTTTCTACGGAAAGACTGTCAAGAGACCATGGGCAGTCAGTCTCAGAGAGCCTTTGAGGAAGTGGATACTCTGGACCTTTCCAGCCAGAGTTCAGACCTGAGCATGAGGCAGAAACCGCACTGGTGGCACCGGTGTCAAGAACTGGAAGGGGAAAGATCGTGCCTCCTATAGTTCTTATATACCTTTCAGCTACCTTCCACACCACCGGTCACTGTGGAGGGCCTGCAGGAGCTGAGGCCCTGTTTTACAAGGGTTCCATTCCTAACTTGGTAGACAATGGTTGAGGATAGGGAGAGGTCAGCTTGGTAGCCATTTACTTGCGCAGTGCCACCAGCCAGTCTTCTCTTCCCTCCTCTTTAACTTTTACATAAAGCTATTGGGAAAGGTCATCCATAGGCTTGGGATAAAGTATCCTCAGTCTGTGGGAAGGAAGCAGAAGCACAGTTCAGGGGAAAAGAGATAACCCGGCCCAGATGTGAGAGCTGTGGTTAGCAAGTGTTTCAAAGTGACTCCACCCCAGTTCTCACTATTCGTCTGGCAGAAATTTTCTCTTACAGTTTTCAATATTACGTTTTTACCCCAGATTAGCATTAAAAATGCCTTTCTGAAATCAGGGCGGTTCCTGCTCCTGTGGCTTGCATGCTATGCGGGGGCTTGATGATACACAACAACTGTCCATTGCTCCTCAACCAAGCTACTGATGGCGTCAAAGCCTTGCCCTGGGATCTGGAGATTATTAGAATACGGATAGGACTAAATAGGCTGCACCAGGCAAGGCAGAGCTGTTGTTTGTCCATCACTGTCCTCTGTCAGCTCCAGTGTTGTCTCTCAGTGCTGTAGCAGTGCTCCTGAGGGAGCAGGCATGTGATGGGGTGGCCCTCCTGAGCTCACCATTACTGCTGGAATGGCAGCATTTGGCCATGGCCAGAACAGCCTTTGCCCAGCTCCTACTGGTGCACCAGTTGTGGCTCTGCCTGGGACAACAGGATCTTGCTATAGTAACTGATCCCTTCAGCGGCACAGTATTCACCTGGACTATGGCAAACATGCTCCATGTTCAAGTGCCCTGAAGACCATTTGAAACCACAACTGGTATAGAAGGCAGCTTCCCGCTTAGCTAGCTCTAGTTGCCAAGAAAATTAGTTGTTGCACACCCTGCATTGGTGCCAGTAGGTTTTTAGTAAAATTCAAAGAGTTCCTTATTCCTAACCCTAGACAGCTCCTGCTGGAATCAACCCATGCAATACATTCATTCCAGAAACTTTTGGTGGGCTCATATTTTTGTGAGGTTGGTGGACCAGGACCAGGAGATTTTCTTTGCTATGGCCCTAATATTATTGAATAGTCTCCCTGGAAACCACACTTGCCTCACCTTTTGTTGATTTCCATAGGCTGGTAAAGACGATGCTCTTCCAGAGAGGTTTCAGTGGTTGGCTAGATGCTGCTGTCTCTTGCTATGATATTCTCCTTATGGCTGTATCTGCTATTACTACCACAGATATTCCAATTTGAATTAATTACTAAACCTTGATTTACCATGGGTGATTTATATGTTGTTTGCTATGTTGTTATGTAGGGAGTCACTGTGAAATACAGTGAGTGGTACAGAAGAACAATAAAATACATACACATATCCTATGTACAAAAAAACCAACAATATTTAGTGCTCCTTTCTAGAGAAGCTCTGAGGTGCCCCAGAGAAAATTCAAAACTGTCTTCACTCTAGTAACAATGGAGAAGCCACCTGTAAGGCCTTCGCACAGGGCCCTACCAAGCGATGACTGAGCGTACTCTTCCCACGATTCTCTTTTAACCACAGAAGCCACAAGCGAATTAATGGGGGTCTAGTTCTCCAGACTCAGGTGGCTGGAGTCTAATGACCGATCCTTAGGTCCTCCTCATGTGATAACAGGAGGGTGCCCTGCCTCAGGGACACATGCTAGGGAGGAGGATCACTGGAATGTGTTATATTGGGTCGGTTCTGAAGCTTCACTCAGGCATAATGGGGCAGAAGGGTTCTGATTAGTCTCCCCAGATGGAGCTGGAGGATAAGCAACTGTCCTGGCTCCCTGCTTGCCCAAGTCAAGGGCAACAGCCCCCATACATAGAAGAGTGCCATCTCCCAAACTGCTTATGTAGTTACACTTCTCCAAAGGCATTCAGTAAGAAAAATGTATCTTGTACTACTGTACAAATAATCCTCGTTTAGTGACAATTGAGACCAGCAACTTGGTCATTAAGTAAAGCAGTTGCCAAGTGAAACCGCAACTGTGCTTGCAAACTTACTTCAGCTCTCCTTTGCTTTATAGACCTGCAAAGGTCATAAATGTGAGAAATGGTCATAAAGTTACTTTTTCATCACTGTCATAACTGCAAATGGTCACTTAATGAGGCAGTTGCTGAGCAAGGACTAACTATAGTACAAAAGAACCCCCCCTACTGGGACAACCCAGCTTTGCACCCTTCCAGTACGATTAGTGCCAATTTGGCTTTAAAATTTAATAATGTTGAGGCAGTTTATATTTTAAAAACTCCTTTAAATGACTGATTTGTTTGACTGCTGGATGCCTTTATTTTATTTTATTATTGCACCATTACATGGTATTTTCCATATAATATGGTGCTTCTTATCCACAGATTGTTTCCAGATTAAGATATATGAAATATAACCCCAACCAACCCCTTCTGTCTGACTATCCAACTCTTGTACTCCAGACTGAGAAAAGCAGCGTGGGCCCTTGTGTCCCTAACCAGAATGCACAACAGCCAATTTCATCCCAATGTTTGACCTAGCTGCCCCCTAGGAGCAGGGCCTGGATAAGACGACAAGGGTGACCAGGATCCGACCAAAACCAAAACTCAGTGGCTGAAGCTGAGGCTGTTGCAAGACCACCCGGGAGGAAGCAGCGGCTGGAGCAGCCAAGCACAAGGGAAGGAATGCCAAAGCCAGATGCCTGCAAGAGGCCCAAGGACCCTGGGCACCAGGCTCACAAGATGCAGAGGCAATGCACCTTGCAAGATGTGACAGAAACACTCAGACTGAGGCCAGGTGTTGTGACGGGCCGGGGAGGGTAGTCAGAGTACAGGGAGAAAGACCACCCTGGCAGCCAGAAGGCCACAAGCGCAGAAGGCAGCTTTCAGCAAGCACCCACCACCGCCATCTGCAAAACAGCGGGTCTCAGCTGATTGCTATTTAGAACTGCTGGCACAGTATCTCAACCTGAACAGCAAATCTTAAATAAAGACGGAAAGTGTGTCGAAAGCACGGTAAAAACATTTCAAGAATGAGAGATGGACTGCTTCCATTTTCTCCAAAGAAAACAGACCTGGGGGCAACAGCTGAATTACAGGCAGGAAGCAAACGAGCAAAGGCAGAGCAGCCAATCTCCAAAGCTGCAGCAATCCCTGCAGGGGGCCAAGCTGCCGCCACTCATATTCCGGATCCAGAGCATCCCCCACCCCCAGAGACCGTTTTCATTAGAGCGTCTCAGGGGGCACCACAAAGAATGCAATTTGACCGGCTTCTATTCAGAGGGACGCTTGAACCTTGCTCTTTCCTTTATCTCAGCAGGCCTCAGAGCGGGCCTGGAGTACACAACCTGGCAGGACACACCCAGAAGCCCATCCTGGCAGACAGGCACTTCCAAGCCTCAGAGCGGGCCTGGAGTACACAACCTGGCAGGACACACCCAGAAGCCCATCCTGGCAGACAGGCACTTCCAAGCCTCAGAGCGGGCCTGGAGTACACAACCTGGCAGGACACACCCAGAAGCCCATCCTGGCAGACAGGCACTTCCAAGCCTCAGAGCGGGCCTGGAGTACACAACCTGGCAGGACACACCCAGAAGCCCATCCTGGCAGACAGGCACTTCCAAGCCTCAGAGCGGGCCTGGAGTACACAACCTGGCAGGACACACCCAGAAGCCCATCCTGGCAGACAGGCACTTCCAACCAAACCGAGACCAACCAGTTCTGCTGCTTCACTCTTATGTAATATTCCAGCCCACCCCCAGTCGTGGAATAGGTCAAATTAAGTACGAATCCATCAGCTGGCATTAAGAGGCTGTATCCAGGCACTTTGGCCCAGTCTGGTCTAGAACGAACCCCCTGCGATCCTTATAAGCCTTCGGCCAGCAGACTAGCCCCACCCTTGCCACAAGCAAGCATCTTGTGTGCCCCAGCCAGGCAGGGAGAGAGCATCCTAACCCCAGAAAAGCAGAGCGGCAAGCTCTCAGGCTCCCCTGGACTCCCACACATCCTGCCAGTTCTGCTCTCCAGAACCAGCAAAGTTCAACAGGTCACTCATTACCTGGCTGGAGCTGGTGGCAACCGAGACACAGTCCACGAAGGGGTGCCTGCGAGCAAAGAAGGCAAGGATGGGCTGCCAGCGTGAAGGCTCAGGGCCCTCTGGCAGATTGTCCGCAGAGCCCTTCCTGGCCCAGAACCTCGGCTTGGGCCCTCCCGACCCCTGGCCAGATCCGGGGGTGGTGCCACTCCGGCTGGCCCGTGAGTAGAGGAGAGAGCTGTTTCCAAAAATGTAGTTCATCTCTTCAGTCCTGCAGGTGGCTATGCGAGCCGGTATGCTTCCCCGTCACCCACCGAACAGGGAATGAGCAGCCGAACACAGGCAGAATTACGACTGCATCGCTGAGAAGAGGAAGCCAGCCAGCCAGCCAGCTCATTGGCTCTCGCGGCTCCTTCCAGGCCGGCCTGCATCCACAGCTGCTCTCACCAGCTCCTGCAGCACCCAGGACTTTGCCCAGGGACATCTTCCGTGCGTGGAGCCTGCTGGCTTTCCGACTGTTGGCTACATCCCTCAGCAACACCAAGCAGGATATCCAGGCACGGAGGGTGTCTATTCGCAGGTAACCAGAGAGGCTGCCCCTTCTCAGCCCCCCAAGCCCCTCTGGGGATGCCCGGGAAGCAGGGAGCTGTCATTACAGTCGGGCAGCCGCATGACCGCTTCCAGCTGGTCTTGAAAATAGCAACACCGGCGCCGCCAACCGATTCCCCGGTCGCTAGCAGAGAAGCCTTCGGAACTCCCTTCCTCCTCCTGCCAGACGCCTTCTTTCCTTTTAGGGAGAAGCCTTCTGCCAGTGAGGTGCCCCGGGCACGGAAGCCACGGTAAGCACAGGTTGGTCCAGGCTTTCTCAGCAGCTGCCGCTTTCACTGCCCCGAAGGCTCTGAGCCGAGCCGAGCTGAGCAACAGACAGGCTCCCCCAGACTCTGCCGCCAGCTCTCTGGGCTCCTGTAGCCAGTCCAGCAGGAAACGCCCTTCTGTGCACCACCGGAAAAGGTAGACCTGACAGGCACCAACTGGGGCAGGCCTCAACCAGGAACAGCTCTCGGGGCCGTCTTGCTAGTTCTCCTTGGTATCTCCAGCTGGGGTGGCAGTGCCACCATCCCCTCAACCCCCCTTTTTCTTCCAGACGGCCTTAGTCACAACGTAAGCTCGCTCTTCCTGGCAAGACAACGGCTGTGAGGATCCGTATCGTTTCACTCTTCTGTTTCTGGGAGTAAGCAGGCTGAGCTCCTTCAAGACTTTTCTCCTTGCTGTTACTGAGAAGCCTTTCATGGTAACTGCGTGGGGAGGGGAAGGGTACAGCAGTACTCAGAATGCATTCTGAGTTGCTTGGATGCTGTTTTCAAGCTCATATGCAAGACCGCACAGAGATATGCACGGACGCATGCATTACAATATTACACAGTAGTGTAGGTGATCGAATGACCAGTCATACAATACTCATGTCAGCCCTTCGAGGTAGGCCAGATCAGGAAACCACCACCACCGGAACTACTCGAACGCCACTTTGTAACCATAAACAACTGCTACTTGGTGTAACAACAGAACCTTGAAGGCCTGACGGCATTTCCCCTTCCCACCCTCTTGCACCAAGGAGAGTCAAGGCAGGGCGATCGCGAGTTTCTTCCCCATGCATTCCGGTTTTCCTGGGCTGAGCTCATGTTTTACTAACAGCCTCTACGCTCCTTCTCTGTGCTCTTTTACAACGCGTTATGGCATTAGCCCGCCCTCTGGATCTCCGCCACAAGCAAGGCGAGTGAGCTGGGTTCATGCAATACACAAAACCAGAAAAGAAGCCACCTGTAAAGGCAACGAAGCTTGCAGGCTTGCACAAGCGTTCTGCGCAGCTAGCC